TAAAAAACACAAATCCAGATCTCAAAATATTGTACAAAATTTCTTGTAACTTCACTTAGAACTAATTACCTACTTTTCTGATTTCATTTGTTTCAATTTCAATCAGAGAAAAATTAATGACCACACATTGTCTATTGTTTGCAATAAATTACACATTAAAGGCAACCCTAGCAACAAAGACAATTCCTTGACAACTATTTTTTTAAATACGTCACTAAATATCTGCGCATGACAAGAAGTTCAAAATATAACCACAGAAAACCAATTATACAAGCTTAATACTTTTTCTACTATCCTTAACAAAACTTTTTATTAAAAACAAGAACATTATTTCTTACAATCGCCATGGTATTATTTGTGTTGTCTGCAAATTAAATGAAGCAGATGTTACCAGACTAGACTATGATTAGTCTTCACAAATTACTGTTTTATATATACAATAGTACAAACCACATCAGTGCTTTTTTTCTGTTTATATCTCAAGAGGGTATTTAGCGGGTTTTTGTGTTCTTTAAAATGCAGATCTGTCAGTATACTCTGCTCAATTTCCAGCAATTAAGAGCTTGGCAAATTTATGAAAAGATTTTCTATTCTATATGGCTGTTTATATAGATCTGAAGATTTTTTTTTATCTCTGCTTGTGTTGTTGGGTTGCTATATTATTTATGTATGCCCTGTTTCCTTTCATTTGCACAAATAATTTGTTAGCAGTATGAACTTATTTATAATAAAGAATTGAATTTGTCTATATTTTGTGTGCAGTGGTGTATATAAACTTATACTATGAACACAATCAGTGTTCACTATTGCATATATCAGACAGTATTACTTTCATCATACTGAATCAGATGGAAAGAGGAAATGGTTTTACAAGCCTCATTTTTCTGCACTCAGGCAATTTATATGTTGAGATGGAAGAGGGTTGAAATCTCAATATAATAGTATAACCCCACCCCATATGCCAGTGCCTGTCCCAAGTAAGAAACTTCATAAGAAGTAGTTTTTAGTTCTACCTGAAATGGTTTTTCATGTCATTTTGGGAATTGATATAAATGGCAGATCATTATAAATCAGTATAGACTATTTATTCTATTGAACTTTTATAGATTCTGGGGGATTTAGACTTTCAGTTTTTTTCTGGGGGATTTATACTGAGATTTTTCTTGATTCTATGGGAATTAGACTTTGAGCTGTTTCTAGATTCTGGAGGATTTAAACTTTGAGCTTTTTCAAGATTCTTGGGGATTTAGACTTTGAGCTTGATATTTTGTTGAGACACTTTGTTTTAAATGCTCAATCATAAAATGTTTGCTTAAAACAACAAATCTAGTATTTTGAGTGATTGACTTTTCAATCTTGAGTATGATATATAATAGTACTCAAAATTTGTATGGCTGTAAAGCCAGATGTCTTTATATTGTGTATAAGGCTTGCTTTGCTATTTATGTATACCGCACACATCCTTTTATTCATATAAATTTTTAATTTTTTTTACAATTTTCCAAGCCCCTTAAGGATTTATATAAAACACTATGTTAAAATCTAAATTCTTTCAATGAACCTTTTCTTGCACCATAAAAGCAAATAAAAGATTGCTTCAATGATCCCCTTTAATCAAGACAAATTCATTTTAAAACATAACAGTAAACAGAAATGTATACATCCAAGAGAGGGTTTATATTATAATCTATTTGAATTCTTTCAAATGATTCAGGGCAGACAGAAGATTCCATGAGTAATCCTAACTTAATGAAAGAATGTAATCCTTATCAGCACCTTCTAATTTTTATAAATTTGAAATCAATAGTTGAGAATTTTTTTAAATCCGATTTAAATTACATGCAAATCATTTTATCTTAAATTTTGTTTACCTTATTTTTGAAAATGATTTAAAAGTTTAAGGTTAAATGACAAATTAAATCTGTTTGTTGATATTCAGGAAAAGATAGATTGAACAAATGTTAAAACAATTCTCATCTTGATGAATACACAAGATCTTAAAAAACTTCTTCTTCAGATATTAAATTATGATTTATCAAAGATGAGCATGCATGTCAATATCCAATAGTTGTGTGCAATTGGTTTCTCCTCTTATGTTACTTGATTTTCTGAAGAACCTTTCATTCAAAAATAGATAATTGGAAAGAATTCCACCATTATTAGAAGGTGTACTGTGTTCAGACTTGAATGACGTCAATCAGTATATAGATTCATTTTCTGCTTGCCGGATGATTTACAAGAACCACGCTGCTATGATAGGTGAAGGAAATTAATTCAGCTAAATTCTGTTTAATATGAAAAATAAAGTCATTTTTTTTCTCTGAAGGATCCTCGTTAACATATTGAGAGAAAAACAATTTTATTGCTTGAATAATAATTAAAAACCATCCATCATTGAGTTCCTAGTAGATTTCAATATACCTCAAGATTTTCAGTATATTAAAATACAATCTCACAACAGTTTCATTTTCTAATACCATTTAGAAGTTTTGAATGATGTTGAGAGAGACCCAACTTTTGTTATCCATGAAAACCCTATAAATCCCTTTTAAAAAAAAAATTGATTATGAATCTTTTTAAAAAGTAGGAAATAAAAATATTTCTCATTTAAGATCATTTAACTTTATTATTATACAAGGAGCTTACCAACGATCTTCCTATTATCAACTAAATTAAAGAGACAACTGTATTGTATTTAAAGCTTTGCGGATGTCCATCCATAGTATTACTGTCGCAAATTTACTTTACCTGGCCACACGCAAATTTACTTTACCTGGCCACACGTAGCAGAGATATTGTGACAGTAAAACTACAGATAGACCGTCTGCAAAGCTTCAAATACAATACATTTATCTCTTTTCTAATGCAAAATAAACAAATCATTCAATTTAAGTGATAATTTTGTGTAAAAAAAATTTAAAGAAATTTTAAACGAAAATTCAGCGAAATGATGTTATCTTCTTTTGCACATAAAGAAGGTGACATCATAGGTATGTGTCAAACCTAAACACCAGATGATTTCTGGCTTCTTGTCCACCTCAGAATGTAATAAGATTTGATAAAAAGAAGATTTCTAGGTGCAAATTGTGAGGTTTTATTTGGCTGATTTTTGAAGAAATTGACTTCAAAATGTTGGCTTCCCATAGTTACATACAGGTATATATAGATTTGTACCTTGATTGTCATCCAATCAGAACCTGAGTGATTGATTCAAAATTATTGCATTAGAATTACTTATATGAGTTCTTTAACATATTCTTTGACCACAAAAAACATATATGAAACCAGTGCCATTTCTTTTTTTTTGTAATCAGGTCGTTAGAGAATTCAGCCTTGCTTGGAATACATTGACTAGGAGTAATTGTTTTTATAATAATTGCCACCTTCTCTGAAACTGTTAATGCCTTGGGGCTCTTTTTATAAGAAATATCAAGTTTCTTCAACCAATCCTCAAATTCAAATCATATTGAAATCACTATGCTTAGGCCAAAATTACTTTTGATAAGTGAAATTCAAAGTGTTTAAAGTCACAGATAAGGTCTCCAAAGAGGGAATTTACTGTAAAATTTGAAATATTATTTCTAACATTGATTATTTCTACAAATGTTACATGTAACACTGCCTTCCATTGACTATATTTGTTTACAATAATACAACCTTCAATATTAACACATTTGTCTCACATGTTACCTTTGTTGAACAGATATGATTTAATGTAAACCTATAATATTTTGTAATGTGATATATCCATTGTTTTGATGTTATAATCACATTATCAAAGATGTTGTATGCCTGTGCAATAAGTTTATATATATTAAATGTAAAGATAGTTTTCATTATGTTTAGAATTTTTCATGTAGAGATTTTTAGAAAATGGAGTAGAACTGAAAAATCCATGATGATGATGATGATGGATGACTGCTTAACATCCAGTGGCAAATTAATATGCATATTCAGGACGAGAACATCGGTTAAAGTATGAAAATTTACCCTGCTTTGTACAAGACTAACACGCTTAGCATGTTCAGAAGGTAACAGTCCGCAGGAAGACATGTCACCTTACCCAGACACATTTTTCTGACTCCGAGCTGACCAGTCTTTGCTCTTACTCCTTAATGTCACGTGCTTAGTGGAGAAGCAGCAAATACCAATTTTAAAGTATTTGGTTTGACAGGGACAGGGTTTGAACCCACGATCTCCCACACATGAGGCGAACACGCTTCCACAAGACCACAGAGGCAGTTGAAAAAACCCATGAAAAGAAACTACAAACTTAAACTAGAGGCTCTCAAGAGCCTGTGTTGCTCACCTGACTCTACTTTGGTTTTAGAAATCATGTAAAGATAGATAAAAATCATAACAGATACCCAAATATTGATTGAGGCCAAATTTAAAATTTTTTGATTAATATTGGTCCCGTTATTTAATAAAATATCCTGGTGGCCATCTTGAACAGTAAATCGGCAACAAAGTAGCAACACTTGGTCAGCACTTCATAAGGAACATTCATGCCATGTTTGGTTTCATTCCATTCAGTGGTACTCTAAAAGAAGACATTTGTATGTATTTCCCATAGGGTCCTATGTTAAACTAAGCCCCCCCCCTAGCGGCCATCTTGGATGATGGATCGACTGCAAAGTAACAACACTTGGTCAGCAACTCATAAGGAACATTCATGCCATGTTTGGTTCAATTCCATTCAGTGGTTCTCTAAAAGAAGACAATTGTATGTATTTCCCATAGGGTCCTATGTTAAACTAAGTCCCCCGCTGTCGGCCATCTTGGATGATGGATCGGCTGCAAAGTAACAACACTTGGTCAACATCTCATAAGGAACATTCATGCCATGTTTGGTTCCATTCCATTTATTGGTTCTCTAAAAGAAGACATTTTTATGTATTTCCCAAAGGGTCCTATGTAAAACTAAGTCCCCCGCTGGCGGCCATCTTGGATGATGGATCGGCTACAAAGTAACAACACTTGGTCAGCATCTCATAAGGAAGATTCATGCCATGTTTGGTTTCATTCCATTCAGTGGTTCACTAAAAGAAGACATTTGTATGTATTTCCCATAGGTCCTTTGTTAAACTAAGTCCCCTGCTGTCGGCCATCTTGGATGATGGACCGACTGCAAAGTAACAACACTTGGTCAGCACCTCATAAGGAACATTCATGCCATGTTTGGTTTCATTCCATTCAGTGGTTCTCTAAAAGAAGTCATTTGTATGTATTTCCCATAGGGTCCTATGTTAAACTAAGTCCTCTGCTGGCAGCCATCTTGGATGATGGATCGGCTACAAAGTAACAACACTTGGTCAGAACCTCATAAGGAACATTCATGCCATGTTTGGTTTCATTCCATTCAGTGGTTCTCTAAAAGAAGACATTTGTATGTATTTCCCATAGGGTCCTATGTTAAACTAAGTCCCCCGCTGGTGGCCATCTTGGATGATGGACTGACTGCAAAGTAACAACACTTGGTCAGCATCTCATAAGGAACATTCATGCCATGTTTGGTTCCATTCCATTCAGTGGTTCTCTAAAAGAAGACATTTTTATGTATTTCCCATAGGGTCCTATGTTAAACTAAGTCCCCCGCTGGCGGCCATCTTGGATGATGGATCAGCTACAAAGGAACAACACTTGGTCAGCACCTCATAAGGAACATTCATGCCATGATTGGTTTCATTCCATTCAGTGGTTCTCTAAAAGAAGACATTTGTATGTATTTCCCATAGGGTCCTATGTTAAACTAAGTTCCCTGATGGCGGCCATCTTGGATGATGGATCGGCTACAAAGTAACAACACTTGGTGAGCACCTCATAAGGAACATTCATGCCATGTTTGGTTTCATTCCATTCAGTGGTTCTCTAAAAGAAGTCATTTGTATGCATTTCCCATAGGGTCCTATGTTAAACTAAGTCCCCCGCTGGCGGCCATCTTGGATGATGGATCGGCTACAAAGTAACAACACTTGGTCAGCACCTCATAAGGAACATTCATGCCATGTTTGGTTTCATTCCATTCAGTGGTTCTCTAGAAGAAGTTCAAAATGTAAAAAGTTAACGCCGACGACGGACGACGGACACCAAGTGATGAGAAAAGCTCACTTGGCCCTTCGGGCCAGGTGAGCTAACAATGAAACTTTTAAACAGCAAACATCAGGAATTATCATAAAAAAATGGAGAAAAATAATTTCAGCATCACAAACTAGAGGCAGCTCTTTAGCTGCTAAGACCTGTACGTAATACTTATCTATATATCAACACAAAATAAAATGGGAAAGATGATAACTTACATTTTTGATATTTTTTTCAACATAAAACAGGGGTGAGTATCTAATGGTCTTTTTTTTTTTAAATGTTCGTTTGCATTTGTTTCTTTTCTAATGGACAACACTTATTTCGAACACTCATTTCGTTCTGGCTACCATGTACATAGATGTATGGCAATTTTGACCATAAAACCAGCAAAAAGTCTGGCACGCAAATTTGTAATCTTTTAAAGCAAGAAAAAAATATCAAAATATTAAAGTTTAAGATATTAAAACATTTTATTGGCTTAACATTTAAACAAACTCATCTTAAGCTGGATTTTATCAGTCTAAAATGCATTAATGCATTTAAATGTGTTTTATTGTGTGATGAATGCAATATAACAGATTTATGACAAAATTTAAAGCAAATTTTGACTAATTCAGTTATACATATGAAGGAAAATCTTGCTAATGATGTGAAAACTAAAGTTTATGACATAATTTGTACAAATCTTTTCTTTGAAAGAGTTACATCTGCTAATGAAGCATATATTGCCTGCAGCATTTGGTAATGTAACTGTTCCAATAACATAAAAGAAGCACTCCATTTTCACAAATAATGAGAAAATAATTCATTTGTCAAGCTTCATATTGAAATCTATACCTTTTCAGATACAAGCCCAATATTCAAAATGAATAAAAAGGAGATGTAGGAATTACGTCATCAACCCAATAACACAAAAAAAAAAACACCAAAAGACATCGAGGTCAAACTTATTTTTGAATAAATTGGTAAGAACTAACATTTCGTGGGAGACTATTGAGGACGACTTGCTAGCAGGACATTTGTATCAATTTTAAGAAAGTGAAAATCAAACTTTTGAATTTACTGATTTTAGGTAAAAAGAAGTAAAACAAGAGGCTCTCAAGAGCCTGAATCGCTCACCTGTATTTCAGAGGAGAAGATTTTTAAATGTTAGCAAACTTGATGAACAAATTGTGTAAAATTGTCTTTAAAGGGCAATAACTCCTTAAGGGGTCAATTGACAATTTTGGTCATATTAACTTTTTTGTAGATCTTACTTTGCTGAACATTATTGTTGCTCACAGTTTATATATATCTATAATAATATTCAAAATAATAACAAAAAACTGCAAAATTTTGTTAAAACTACCAATTCTGTGGCAGCAACCCAACAATGGGTTGTTCGAATCATCTGACAATTTCAGGGCCGATAGATCTAGACCAATTAAACAATTTTACCCATGTCACATTTGCTCTAAAAGATTTAGTTTTTGAGATATAAGCCAAAAACTGCATTTGACCCTTATGTCCTATTTTTAGCCATGGCGGCCATGTTTGTCGATGGATACAAACTTCGGATACACTTTATAAACAAGATACCCTAAGGAACATTAAGTTAAAGTTTGAAGGTAATTGGCCCAGTAGTTTCAGAGGAGAAGATTTTTAAATGTTAGCAAACTTGATGAACAAATTGTGTAAAATTGTCTTTAAAGGGCAATAACTCCTTAAGGGGTCAATTGACAATTATGGTCATTTAACTTTTTTGTAGATCATACTTTGCTGAACATTATTGCTGCTTACAGTTTATATATATCCATAATAATATTCAAAATAATAACAAAAAACTGCAAAATTTTGTTAAAACTACCAATTCGGTGGCAGCAACCCAACAACGGGTTGTTCCATTCAACTGAAAATTTCAGAGCTGATAGATCTTGACCAATTGAACAATTTTACCCCCGTGTCAGATTTGCTCTAAAAGCTTTAGTTTTTGAGATATAAGCCAAAAACTGCATTTGACCCCTATGTTCTATTTTTAGCCATGGCGGCCATGTTTGTCGATGGATCAAAACTTCGGATACAATTTATAAATTAGATACCCTAAGGAACATTTGGTTCAAGTTTGAAGGTAGCCCAGTGTTTTCAGAGGAGAAGATTTTTGAAATAGTTTACGACGACGGACGCAAAGTGATGGCATAAGCTCACATCGGGGGTGGGCTAAAAATGATGCAATTGAGATGTGTTAATTTAGCTCTTTGAATTTGATTATATAAAAATTGCGAGAAGCATAACATGGAATAAGAAATCTAAAAACCTCAGTAACATATTTTCTCTACTACATCTTTGCTGTGATGATACCTTAGTTAATTTTGAATCATCATCAACCAACTAACAGATTTCAGTGACAAAAAAAAACAAAAAAGAATAATGTTGCAGATGTCAAAACTTTCTGTGTAAATTTTAGAGGCAGCTCTTTAGCTGCTAAGACCTGTAATACTTATCTATATATCAACACAAAATAAAATGGGAAAGATGATAACTTACATTTTTGATATTTTTTTCAACATAAAACAGTAGTGTGAATTTAATGGTCTTTTTTTTTTTTAAATCTTCGTTTGCATTTGTTTCTTTTCTAATGGACAACACTTCTTTCGAACACTCATTTCTTGAATCGTTTTTCACAACTCATGCACACTGTTATTTCTCTCTCAAGATTGATCATAATAAAATAGATTTGCCAAAAAATATGTACCTTTTAAAATTTTCTGCAACAACAAGCCTCTTATGCATTTTCAAACTCTTGAGGATATAAATTTTACAAGGAATTGAACATGATTTTGGAACAGGGTCATTTTTATCCCAAAAAATACTTTCTTTACCCAATTTTGATCTTTCATCAAGCTTAAGTATTTTTGGGATGATTATCTGTTATTGAGGTATGTATAGTAATTTTTTAGGTTATTTCAAGGATTAACTATACAAATCCTTGGTTATTTCATTCGATATAACAAAGCTATTGAAATACTTCTACCAGTTATATTAAGCAGGTATAAGGGAAATACCCCTTCCCTTATACTGTATGATTTAAACTATTTTATTGGTTTAGAACAGTAAGATAAGCCTTAAATCTGTTTTGACTTTCAATAATTTAAATCAGTAATTATAGTCTAATGTTTTTGATATACAATACAATAGATTATAGTAATTATCCACTTTTAGACTGTTAAATTGTCCTTCAGTTAATATTTTTTTCCAATGTGGAATTTGGAATAAGAAAAGTTGGATGGTTCAGCTGCTGAATGGTGAATTCCTAATATGCAGTTCGCAGTTAACTATATGAACTGTCAACAAAAACATGTATTTCCACCAAGATTACATCATTACAAATCATCTTTTTATCAATACATTCTACAGATTTTGACATTTGGAAATTTTTCATATTCAAATTTATAGTTGACTGAATTCTACAAATCTGAATATACCATTAATTCATTTATCCAATGATTAAACCCTTTCATTTATCTTTACAATTTTTTATTCTTAGCATTTTAATGCACAGTTAAATGTGCTCTTTTAATCCTGTCAGTGCTCAATCTTTCATCAAAGAATATTTTTGTCAAGGGTTAATTTCTCTATCTCATGTCACTCAAACTAATAATGCTATATCAACTTTTTTTACAGCAAAATATATAATGTATACCCTACTGATTAATGTTTGTGTTTAAGGTCTGTTTTACACTGACCTGGCTATGTTGGACATATGGCAACCAGTTCTTATTGGTGGCTGAATAGGACCACCAACCTTCGGCAGGAACACTGGCAATCCTCAGTAGTTTGATAAAAATACATGGTTCAAAATGAGACCTTCAGACTAGTAAAACTGACCATCCTAAAACAGCCATTAAGATAGGAAAACATCGTAAAAATGAGTTTATTTATTAAAACTATAATAATTCTTCAAGATAATATGTTATTATATGAGCTGTATCGGATAGAAATCGACCCTATGCAAATGAATATCTTTCTGTTAATCTTTTTCACGTTGAAAAAATCTCTATGCAAAGTCAGACTGTAACTGTTTGAAAATTGTGTTGATATAAGAACCCTACAAAATAGACCAAAATTCATCTTTTATTTCTTATTTGAATGTTCCAAAATCATCAAAGTCTTATATACATGAACATGTATAGGTGCACTTGCACTTGCATAGGGTCGATTTCTATCAGATGCAGCTCATAGGTAATTGTCATTTTCATCTACTCCAGTAATATTACTCCCTCATATGTAATTGTCATTTTCATCTACTCCAGTAATATTACTCCCTCATATGTAATTGTCATTTTCATCTACTCCAGTAATATTACTCCAGTACAAATCATGGCAAGAACATGTAACTAAATGATTAACTTCTTGATCTAGTTATCTTTGAGAAGGAGACAACTTCTAGAGGGTCCCACTTATGTGTAATTTCAATTTTTTTCAAGTATGAATTGTTCCTACAGTACACTTAAAAGCATGTCACTTTGTCTCATAGGAAATATTATTAAGAAGAATATTCAGTATGATCAAGTAGAATGTATGACCTGATTATGACATTTGTTAAACATTGAATGATGGTCTGACACACTAAACCAATTCAGTGACTTTAAAC